GCGTCTTGTCCTGGGACTCAACAACATGCCCACTGCGGCTGTGGCTCACAAACATTGCATAGATTGGGATTTCATCATTAGCATTCATTTGGAGTCTTGTTTGTGATAAGTCCTTCTGAGAAATAGTCGAGTAATGACTTCTCCACAGCTCCATCCATTAGTTCACCAGGTAGTCGCTATCCTGTCTGTCTGCCGTTTGGCGAGAGGACACAGAGGGTTAGTCAAAGCTTCTGTGATGAAAACAGCCTCCTGGTCTTATTGAGAGTGAACCGAAAGTTAGCGGGCCAAATCAAATCAAAGCAGTGGGCTGAAAGTGTCCTTAAAGCTCCTTAAAACTGAGGACTGCTGCAGATCATTGGGATGCGTTGTTGTTGTAAACAGTATTTACAGCTGCTTCAATCTTCAAGTTGATGATGTGTTTTCACATTTTAGGTCGACAGCAACACAACAATTCAAAATGCATCATCATGTTGCACTTTTACTGCTGGATGAATTTGCAAACAAGTTCAAATGAGTGATTGCAGGTTAAAGCATTTATTGCAGAACTTAAAGGTTAAAAATCACAGTGGAAATCTTTTTTACAAGATTTAACTGCAGTTCTCCAGAGTTGTAAATCCCCGTAGAGGGGTGTCAAACTCAATTTCATCGCGGGCCACATTCGCATTATGGTTGCACTCAAAGGGCCGGTTGTAACTTTAAGACTATATAAAAATACATATATAAATATTTAATATATATAAAATAATGTGTTATATTACATCATTGCCTCTGCATTGGATTATTATCGGATAGGGTAATGACTTCATAATTAACTACGGCTGAAAGCAGAAGTCTAGGGCAAATAATTGCAAGTCTCTTCAGTGAGAATGTCACAAAATTATTTAAAAGAAAAACGAAATTCTGAAAAAAAAAAGTAAAAAAAAAAACATTTTGAAAAAAAATGTCAAATTCTGAGAAAAAATTCTAATTTGAGATGCATTGTGGGACATGTAGTTTATGGGCAACGTGCTTCTGTAAATCGGCATGTAACCATATCATAGACATATTATATTCTTTTCAAGCCCTTGTGGGGCCACATGAAATGAAGTCACGGGCCGGATTTGGCCCCCGGGCCTTGAGTTTGACACCCCTGCAATTAAACACGATGTTCTGCTTTCCCTGACCTTAAAGAGTTAACAGAGTGGACAGCATGCAGGCATATGATCAGAAGACTCATCTGCAAATCAAACGCGTGGCTGTGTGTTCCCGCTCCTGCACATCATCCAGACTTACAGCTATAGATTGACTATAAAACTCAAGAGGCACTCCCTGAACCCTCATTTATTTTGAACTCCTCGACTGATATTATCTCCAAACTGGCAATGCAATTACAGAGGCCCTGCCATCAATAGTGGATTCCAGCAGTGCAAGCATGACAGAAATCCACTTATTCCGTCTAGTATTGATGTCAATTTACTGTTTCATTACAACTAGAGCTTATGGAGCTGCACATGATCACAACTGAATGGGCATCTTGTTATGGGACCTCAAAGCAGGTTTGGATCCACAGCCGATAAATAATGCATCAGATACTATGCGTAATCATGCACATACGCTCAGCAGAGACTCCAGCACAACAAAGATAGCGATAGATTAGGTGTGAGGGTCTTCTTCTGATGCATATGTATGAGTTGCAGCAGGTTCGGTGATGCTGTCGACTGCAAATCCAGTTCATCATGGCTTTAGAATGATGTCCTTTTTACTTCTGTTAGAAAAATATCACTGGCTTCAGCTTCAATATCAGGATCCATGTATTTATGATCCTCTCAAGAATGGAAGTAGTTGTCACATACAGTACAGAGCATGTGGTACAACTTGTTCCTGAACAGAGAAGGAGTTACAGTCACAAGATGGAGGAATACCGGTTCAAAGCAGTATTCAATGCTTAGTTCAGATTAGCTAAGGCCTGCGTAAGAAATAAACATGACGGTCATATGCCTATCTCCCTAGGGCAGGGGTCGGCGGCCCACGGGCCGCATGCGGCCCTTTAAGCCCTCTGCTCTGGCTCCCTTGAGTTTAGACAAAAATAAGAAGGAAATAAAATAAAAGTATTTGTAGGACTATTTATATTGTATTGCATGGTTGAAAATGTTTCGTATCTTGTATTTTGAGGTGATACTGTGACACATAAATAAAAAACAAAACGGTTTGAATTAGGTCAACTAAAATATGCGTCACATCCTACTACGGTCCCGCGCGAGCGCCTTTTCTTGGAGGCGAATAACCTGACCCCCGGCTCGATGAGCGAACTATGGATAAATCAAAGAAAAGTACCGGAGGAACACAGGATTTAATTCTGTGTGGACAGAGTTATATGCTTTCACAGCAAACAATGCTGGTTTACCGGTATGTTTGATATGTAGAGAGAAGTTGTCAACGGTGGTGCAGCCTTTACGTATCGAGGAACAACAAGGGAGAGGAAGACAGCTGACGATCTTCAGACATAATTCAATGGGGTATGTAATTTATTTCAGAAAACACTTATTGTTATATTCCATGGAATGCTCTTAACGTCCCGATAGCAATGAATATATTATTAAATGCTTTGACAATAAATCCATACAAAAATTAATCTCTGGAAGCCGTGGCGCTGTAAAAAGCACAACCAATCATCTGAGCCGGCCCGGCTAAAGTAACTGGATGGCCTACCTGCCTGTCAGCCTTCCATCTGTGCACAAATGTATCTCGTGCCCTCATTGGTCATGTGCGCGTTCGTGTGTGTTGGAGGAGGGACTCTGTAAGAAAGTCTGAAGGAAGAGGCATATATAGTACTTTCAAATTCTAGCGCACTCGAGCTGGTTTCTCCATTCTTACCTACCCTACCTTTAACTCTTTTTAGGGTGCAGCTATATGTTTTATTTATTTCAAAGTGGGCCCATTTTAATAATATTTTTTTTTCCTGTGCTGTGTTTAATTTATTTTAAAGTAGGCCTGTGTATTATTTGTAATTCTCTTTATAAGAGTTCTTTGTTTCTTATTAGAGGTTAACAGTTTTATATCATGTAATAAATAGCCTAATAAATGCAAAAAAACTGTAGTTTTTGTCTGATATAACAATAAAAAACTATGACATATGTTTTGCGGCTCCAGACAAAAAAATGTTTTGGAAAAAGGAGCAAAATGGCTCTTTTGGTCAAAAAGGTTGCAGACCCCTGCCCTATGGTCAGTGGCGGTTCTAGACCAATTTGACTGGGGGGGCCACTGGGGGGCCAGTTATTTTCTGAGGGGGGCACAATAAATGCAGGACGAAAAAGAGAACTAGACAGTATGAAGTAATTGCGCATAAGAAAACAATGCAATACAGTTATTGGTATTTGTTTCAGTACACTTATTTATTTCAGTTAGATATTATAGTTATTACTGTTAGCTTCAGCTTAAGTTATAGTGCAATGTTTGCACTAACACCATATTTATATAAAAATAAAGGCAATGAACAGTTACATCTCTACTTTACATAAGGGTGTCTGCACAATCTCACATTACAGCAACAAAATCCTGCGTTTTTTGGCAAACCGAGTACCAGAAAATATACATTTAAAAAAAAATATATATATATACTTTTCATTGTTAGGGGGGTCAGAGGTCAGTGTTAGGGGGGCACTGCCCCCCCCTAGAACCGCCCCTGCCTAGGGTCATCATATTTAATCGTTGGAACAAAGCTATCGTATGTTCAACACAGTGTCTCTTAAGCTTCTTCTAGGTAATCATACATCCTGTAACGTACCCAGCTGGGCTTTTGTTATCATGTGCTATCCTCTGATATTGAAAGAGTACATTCAGTATTTTCCCAACAACTACTTCATAGTGTATATTTAAAACTATACGATATTAGATACAATCCTACATATCTAACAAGTACAACACTAGATGTGCACGACGGGTATTTTATATAACACACATGACTAGTATTCTAGATGGCTTACCCTGAACGTCAGTTTTTAAGTTAATATCTAAACTTTTAAGCATAGTTTCTTCTTTACACATTCACTGTTTGTTTGAGTCGCTTTTATGGCCATCTGTTGATATATTTTACCTAATTTTAACCCCCTTTATGCTTTATTGTGTTCATCAGCTTGTTACTATCTTTGATCTCTGTCTTTTGTGTGTTGAGTGGGGAGCGTACAGCGTTTTGTTTGAAAACAGCTGCCTGCATGCTGCTGCAAAAACAAGGCTTTGAGAGCGGAGAGAGTGATCCAAAAGCAATTTTCAAAAAGCAGGCTGTTAAACCAAAGCATACGCTGAAAGACGCCTGAAGGCTCTGTAGAGATCAAAGTAACTGCAGAGGCCCGGATGATATCTTTCCCTTGTATCGTTTTGAGATCGAATATTAATATAGAAAATATTGATTAGAGCAGCCAACATGTTTGGCCTGTCCTACCTTGTGCTTGGATCTCTAAAGAAACAGATTTAGTTGATGATCAGTGAAATACTTATGTACAGAAATGATTGTGCACAAATGCTAATCTAATCTTTGGGATGCTTATAATGTGTGTGTGTTTGAGAGGTGTTGATACCATTTGTTTTGTCCTTGTTGTTTGACTTGTATTGCGTTGCGTTGCATTATACGTCGATGTTATTGTCCTTCAACCATCTTCAAAGGACTCTCCGTCTCCTCTAGGGATTGCTGCAGTTGCTAAAGTTAATAAATGAGAAAAAGCGTTAATGTTTTTGGGGTTGAAACTGAGAAACTATGACTCTGCGAATAGTATTGATCAGGGAAATGTCTGCGTCAGGTGAAACACTTCACCAACCTCATCCTCTCTAATTTGCGCTCTGGCTCGCAGTCAGACCACGAGGACGGCTGGAGTGCTTTCACACCCACCGGCGGAGGTTAAGTCCCACCAGCTTCCTCCATCTACTGACAGCTCATTTGCTAAAATACCTCTTTGCTAAAATGATCCTTTTCTCCCCATCCCTCACCCTTCCCTCCCTCCCTGCCTCCTCCCCTCTCAACATCACAGGTGTAACGCTATCTTTAGCCTGAGGGGGGCAGAATGCCGGAGCAGAGCAACGACTATCGTGTGGTGGTGTTCGGGGCGGGAGGGGTGGGGAAGAGCTCCCTGGTCCTGCGCTTCGTGAAAGGCACCTTCAGGGACACCTACATCCCCACGGTGGAGGACACCTACCGCCAGGTGATCAGCTGCGATAAGAGCGTGTGTACCCTCCAGATCACGGACACCACGGGGAGCCACCAGTTCCCCGCCATGCAGCGCCTGTCCATCTCTAAAGGCCACGCCTTCATCCTGGTGTACTCCATCACCAGCAAGCAGTCCCTGGAGGAGCTCAAACCCATTTACCAACAGGTGGGTGGATAAGTGTCTAGACCAGGGGTGTCCAAACTACTACTACCATTTTGAATCCGCCCTCACTCAGCAAATTATGACTTAAGTATAATAAACTTCTGCTTGTCTTATATTGTACTTCTTGAATATATATGTTACAAGGTATTCATGTGTTAGTTAGCCCAGTGTTCAAATAAATTCAGTCAATTCAAGTTGAAAACATGTTCTAACAAATCTAAGTTGATAAGAAAAAAGCCCAATAACAAATGTACGTAACAACCTTGAAATATACCCTTCATATTTCCTCTTATTATAATCAATCTGAAGCTTCTGTTTTAAGGAATGAGCTGCAAGACAATAAATGACACCCTTTCTGAAGGCATTCTCAAGTATCAAGAACAATTGACATATTGGATTTACTTTTCCAACTTATAACTTAACTTATGAGGCAAAATACCTCTAGTGAGTGGCCCAGCCCTTCTTATATTTGTCTGTAGTTGGCCCTCGGTGAAAAAAAGTTTGGACACCCGTGATCTACATGTATTATAATGAGAATGGAAGTCCAGGATGCATTTATCACCTTCATGTCCAGCTACAAGGATACATTCACAGCTGTTTGTTGTTTTTGATTAAATAATAATAAACTATTGTTGTTGCATGATTCAGACATGAAGGAAGTACTTGGATCATGTACTTAATGTCGTTTTCACAAGTACAAATCCTGCATAATGGATTTTACTTCAGAAAAGTATTTGCATCAAAATATACTTGAATTATGAAAGTGAACACATTTTTCTCAAATGTCCATTTTATAATAACTTTTATGAATTAGAATACAATTTAAAAGTGTGGATGAATGTCCATAACCTCTTAATGGGAGGGTGATTTGAATTACATTTGTTATAGCATTTTCTGTAAGCATCCTTAATCCCAAAAGGAATTTAATGTATAAAATAAATGTGGTGGAGTACACAGCTCAGTATTTCCCACTGACATGTATTTGAGTAGAAACCAAAAGTACCACAACTGTAAAGAAGTACAGTACTTAAAGTCAATTAACTCCATCACTTTCTACCACTGGAAGCACAATACAGAAAACCCCCGAACATTTAAAATAAAACACGGATAAATAAAACAAACAAAATATATTTACGATGTTTCATTTGGTTGAATAAAATAGGAACATTTCGTGTCTAGATGTAAAGACGTTTACAAATATTCTTATCCAATGTTAAATCAATCTTTTTAAAATGTAAATAATTGATGATGTGCACGTCCCAGCCAGAACATAACAGGTGTCTCTTATGTTCCTCCTCCTCCTCCTCTGCAGGTGTTGGCCATAAAGGGAAACGTTGAGGCCATCCCCATCATGCTCGTGGGGAACAAGAGCGATGAGACCCTTCGGGAGGTGGAGACCAAGGACGGAGAAGCCCAGGCCAACCAGTGGAAGTGCGCCTTCATGGAGACGTCGGCCAAAACCAACCACAACGTCACGGAGCTCTTCCAGGAGCTCCTCAACCTGGACAAGAAGAGGAACATGAGCCTCAACATCGACGGAAAGCGCTCGGGGAAGCAGTCCCGCGCCGAGAGACTGAAGGGAAAATGCAGCGTGATGTAAATGGAGGAGGTGGAGGTGGAGACAGGTGGGGAAGAAATACAGAGAAAAGGAAGTAGAGAGAGAGAGAGGAAGGACTCACTAAACGTATCCTCGGAGCAAAATGTTACGAAGGTGTAACGGAAATCTCATCATTCACCTCTGTTTGACCCAACACAGCTTTCAGTTTGGATCTTTACATCAATGTGCATTCTGTGGAAAGGAGAAATGAGCGCAGAATATCAAGAGGCACATTTAAAACAAGAAGTACATGTAGCATCATCCAAGCGGTCACAAAACCTGGCTGTGGGTCTCCGCAAGACCTTGGACTGCAATGACTACAAGAGACTGCAGCAGCAACAACAAAAAGACTGAAGGTTTCTAAAGTTATCCAACACAAATGTTGTCCTCTCTCACTTCTTCACCTAAGCCCGTCCTCCCTACTCAGCTCACACCGCTCGTCACCCCTCACATACCCCCGACTATAACAAATAGACGTAATGTAATTGTAACAGAGTCGATACACTTAGTTAAACTCACTGTTCTTGTGGAAACTCCATATGACGAGCTCAAGGTGTCTGTCGTGCCGGAAAAGTACAGGTGTGATACTGTTAGCATGAATGACATTAGCGCACCCAGCTACATCCCAGAGCAACTCCTGAGGACTCACACGGGATATTTAAATATATTCCATCTAACACGCCCTGCACATTAGTAACAAGTCAAAGGGTGAGGTTTGAAGCATTAACGCTTAATCTCCTCATCCTCAGCCTCTCTCCAGAAACATTCAAAAAAGACCCTTATTATTTATCAAGAAGTCATTCTACTAAAAACTCATCCGCAAACTCTCTAAATGTCCTCATCTGAAGTGGAGGAGCTTCCAGCGGGTAGGCACGTACACGCTACTGACACGACGCAACAATCCTTTTAAGACTTTCATTTAGTACAGAAAAGCTCTGGAGGAAAAGAAGCTGGACACTCGAAACAGAAAATCAAATCTGCCTTGTCTACGAGGATGATACACTCGGATAATCATTGCCGAGACGAAGAGGAAGGTTTTCGGTCCTGAGGTCAAGAATGTCAGTTTACTTTGGCCCCTTCCACGTGAAGGTGTCTCTTCTTTTGCCTTTTTTATTCTTGTTTGCTATCTTTATGAAGCTTTATATCGTCATGTAAGAGTCAGAAAAGCCCTCCTTAAACAAAAAAGCACACAGATAATTAAATAAATAAGGGATACATGTAAAATGGTTGCATACAGATTATTTAATGTGACCTGAATCACTAATTCTGTTTCCTCTTTGGTTGTTTTGGTCACATTACCTCTCACAAGCAGGCGTCGGTAAACAGGAAACAGAATGAGTCACACACACATACACACACATACACACACACACACACACACACATACAGACACAGCATGCGCACAAATGCATTCATGCAAGTGTCAAAAAAAGTCAATCTGAGTATCACTGTCTGACTACATGAAGACAAACGGCGCTCAGCCTCAATGCCCTCACATTGCACTTTATATCATAAACACACACACACATGCACACACACACACACACGACTGTAATTGTTCATGTTGTTGCCTGTTATGTTTAAAGGATCTCCGCTTAACTCAGAATATCCTCGTGGAGCTCTGCTGTATGTCCAAAGTGCATGTTTAAACCTTTTGTTCCTACGCAGGAGCTCTGAATATTGTACACGGTATACACGGGACTGCCAAAAGCACAATACTTTTTTAACTGCATATCTTTTATCGTTTCTTTTTGTATTTCCTTTTTGTACGTTTTTCTTCCTTTTATCTGTGTGATTTTCATCTTGAACATGCATCTGAACACGGAGGAAACAGTCACGATCACCGGTATAAGTGTTGTTATGTGTCCGGTACATGGCACAATGAGGTTCTGCTGAACAACAGGGTTTCATGATGTGACCGTTAGCTGCGGTAAAGATGTGACGTAACCACACAGAATTGTAGGTCGAGTAGGACTCAGACGGGGGACAGATTATTTGCCTACTTTTCTCCGTCTCTAAGGCGGTTTGAACAACAATTTGAGTGGAGGATAATCTGCTCTTGTTTTGTTAAACCCAAAGACGCAGATTATGCCTCGTTTTAACTGTGTGTCCGTCTCTTCTGGACAAAAGCACAGCAACTGTTTCCATCCGTCCTCCTTCTCTGTCTAGATGTGTGCAGCAGAATCAACCACTGGGCACTTTAGGGTGACATTTTACTTGAAGACTTGCTTATTAATCAGCGATGCCTCATTTATAAGCACCATGTAAAACAGGGGTGTCAAACTCAAGGCCCGGGGGCCAAATCCGGCCCGCGACTTCATTTCATGTGGCCCCACAAGAGCTTGCAAAGAATATAATATGTTTGTAATATGGTTACAGAAGCACGTTGCCCATAAACTACATGTCCCACAATGCATCTACAATTTGAATTTTTTTCTTCTAAATATGCATTTTTTCTCAGAATTGAATTTTTTTTCAAAATGTCTTTTAAAATCATTTTGTGACGTTCTCACTGAAGAGACTTGCAATTATTTGCCCTAGACTTCTGCTTTCAGACGTAGTTAAATATGAAGTTATCCGATAATAATTCAATGCAGAGGCAATGATGTAATATAATACATTAGTTTATATATATATTAAATATTTATGTATTTTTATATAGTCTTAAAGTTACAACCGGCCCTTTGAGTGCAACCATAATGCGAATGTGGCCCGTGATGAAATTGAGTTTGACACCCCTGATGTAAAATGTCCCTCCTGCATTGTTCCATCAAATAACAACTTCCAACAGTGTTGTTATTGTACATAAAGCATACGGTAGTTGAATGAAATGTTTATTAGAGCTTCAAGTAAGATGTTACCCATGTAAAGAAAAACTGTCTTTCTGGGAAGTCCTTGGAGTCGTTGCTACAGTAGGAGGTTCGATGTTGCTATTTACTGTAGTTTACAGCTTGATAACGATGCTCATGATATATTTGACACATCCACTCTTCAGCTATACCAATCAGATAATACTAGCGATATGTGAATATGTAACTAAAGGTGCCACTCCATGGCCGTTTCTGTTTTCTGAATGAATCAGTTATCAATGTGTTGTCCTTTGCACTAATGTGAGGTCCTCCTAAACGTTGCATTGTAAAACGTACCCTTTACATGTTAGAAGCCAGGGATGCTCACTCGTACTCTTTCTTTTTGCCATCAGTTCATACTTTAAACCAGGGGTGTCAAACTCAAGGCCCGGGGGCCAAATCCGGCCCGTGACTTCATTTCATGTGGCCCCACAAGGGCTTGCAAATAATATAATATGTCTATTATATGGTTACATGCCGATTTACAGAAGCACGTTGCCCATAAACTACATGTCCCACAATGCATCTCAAATTAGAATTTTTTCCTCAGAATTAGACATTTTTTTCAAAATGACAAAATGTTTTTCTTTTACTTTTTTTTTTCAGAATTTCGTTTTTCTTTTTAAATAATTTTGTGACGTTCTCACTGAAGAGACTTGCAATGATTTGCCCTAGACTTCTGCTTTCAGACGTAGTTAATTATGAAGTTATTACCCTATCCGATAATAATCCAATGCAGAGGCAATGATGTAATATAACACATTATATTATATATATTAAATATTTATATATATATTTTTATATAGTCTTAAAGTTACAACCGGCCCTTTGAGTGCAACCATGATGCGAATGTGGCCCGCAATGAAATTGAGTTTGACACCCCTGCTTTAAACGGATTGTAATTGACATAGTTTGTCCTGGCTTGTTTTAGATGCCAGAAGGATGGAGTGATTTCTGTCTGATGTGTCCTTCAAAAGGTTAAAAAGCTAGAAATAATATCAGTTTATCTCTCAGACAGTTGCCCTGATGTGATGTGTTGCTACCGGCAGTAGTGGTGCACACGCTGCATAAATATGAGCTTGACGCATCTGGTGGGTTAATGCAAAACGCCAGCTTGCGAGCGCATGTTTGTGCAATCTGTTGTTCTGCTGACGTCTACAAGAGGCTGTCCATGTCCCTGCGTGGAATATGATACAGCAGGCAGAGAAAAACAATGGGACAGCGCGTGATAGCGGTATGGACAACAAGCTGGAGTGAGAGGCTGTGCCATTGATAGGAATAGTGTGAACATATTGAGAGCGCTTACACATCCTACAGCCTGTGTAGGGTTCAAATGTGCATGTGAGGAGGCGTGCATGGGAAGTGAGTGAGCGTGCGTTGTGTTGCTTGGGCTGTGTGAGTGTGAATCAGGACAGACACCTCTGCCCCCGTCCTCCCATCGCTTGTCTCATCTTATTTATCAATGAAGCATATTCACTGCTGCTTTCTGTGCGGAAGCCCACGAGTGCATCCATGTGTCTGTCCAATTAGCCACCGATCTGCTTTCCTTCACTCTGGGGTGTGTGTGTGTGTGTGTGTGTGTGTGTATGTGTGTATGTGTGTGTGTGTGTGTGCGTGTGTGTGATGTTGTTGTTGTACCATCTTCGGTCAGATATTTGAAGCTTTCCTTTGGAGGATGCCTACTCATTTCTGCATGAGTCATCTAGAATTGTTCACACACACACAAATATACATACTGCATGCCCTTAGCTGCACACACACACTTATACACGCATATTACTCTCACACACAGTCCTTGTCAGTGAAGCCTGATTCCCTCTCTGGCTGTTTTCCGCTCTGAGCTGTCAGCATTACTTCTCCATAAATCAGCTGTCCGACCCCCTGAAATCGTGACTTTACTTTTATATAATACCTCAGTTTCTTTTGTTTGTGTGTGTGTGTGTGTGTGTGTGTGTGTGTGTGTGTGTGTGTGTGTGTGTGTGTGTGTGTGTGTGTGTGTGTGTGTGTGTGTGTGTGTGTGTGTGTGTGTGTGTGTGTGTGTGTGTGTGTGTGTGGTCTAGCATTACTATACTTGTGGGGACCTAAATCTGTTTACATAGTCACGTGTGGGGACTGGCTTCCCTTATGGGGTCCCCATGAGGGGAATCATTAATGTTAGGGTGAAGACTTGGTTAGGTTTAGGGTTAGGGTAAGGTTAAGGGTTAGGTTAAGGGTAAGGGTTAGGGTTAGGCATGTGTTGGTTATGGTTAGGATAAGTCTCCAGGAAATGCATGTAAGTCAATGTAATGTCCCCTGAAGTGATGTGTGTGTGTGTGTGTGTGTGTGTGTGTGTGTGTGTGTGTGTGTGTGTGTGTGTGTGTGTGTGGGTGTGTGTGTGTGTGTGTGTGTGTGTGTGTGTGTGTGTGTGTGTGTGTGTGTGTGTGTGTGTGTGTGTGTTGTGTGTGTGTGTGTTGTGTGTGAGAGAGAGAGAGAGAGAGAGAGAGATAGAGAGAGTCGGTTGCACTAGAACAGACGGGAGGCCAACCCTGCTCACTCCTGATTGTAGATAGTTGTAAATAGTGTTCAAAGGACTTCATATTTCCGAGATGAGTGTGCAGAGGGAAGGATGCCGTGGTGGGAAGGTGCCGTCACCTGTGTCTCCTTATTGTAGTCAAAGTGTCCAATTCGAAATGACACAGCAACGCTTGCAAAGTTTTCTACAGAGGAGAGCTTCTTAACCCGCTGTATTAAAAAAATAAGCTAAAACTGCAAGTAAAACAGCTTTTGACTTTAAACAGGGTAATCTACGGAAGCCCAAAGTGACCAATATTCTATTTTAAATGAACAATCATATGACCAAATACAGGCTTTATAAGGTAATATACGTGAAATTCTGAAATATTGCAATAATGATTTACTAATTTATTAAATGTTAAACATTGGATCTCCATAGAAATCCACATTGGCAGCTTTTGTCCCAGTTTCTGATTAGGACCAGGCAAAGTTTACGTCACCAGGTACTGGGTACTTGTCATGTTGCATAAGAGCATGTTGTTGTACAGCAGAGGAAGTGTGGATCACATGTGTGTTTTTTCCATAGCAGGATGGGAAACATGATGCTCAAACGAAGGGCAGCTGGTTTATCTAAATACAAAGAAATGTTTGTTGTGTTCTAGTCTAACTATGTTCCGTAAACTCATTCCTACCAACGGGGGCAGGTTGACGTCCTGTTGAGTCGAGGATCTGAAAGAAAACTGACCCCATTAACCTCTCCGCGTCACCCCTTCACATCTTGTCTGATCGCCTTGGACCCTCACGAGCTGTTTTCTGTGGGGCATACAGTGGGGCATTTAGACTCTGTGGGTAAAGTAGTTTGGTACTATCCTGTCGCTTTGGCCGTTCATCCCTGCATGGTCCCTATTGGTGTTCCAGCCAGCATGAGAACAAGGACACAAACTGTGAATCATCTTTGTATTTTTTAAATAAATTCCTCAGCAGGATTTACGGCTTTGTTTTAGCAAATGTTTTATTTCTTTTAAGCACTTGTTTTTTTGTGTAAATTATTCTTTTGGTTTATTTCCTTTTTTCTGTTGGGACTTTTTATTTATTTAACCAATTATGATGTATAGATATTTATTCTAGCAATAGTCTTCCTATTAAGATATACTGTGCTGATGCATCCTCTGAATAACTGAAAATAGCATATATATAAATATATATATATATAGATGATAATAATAATCAAATCTGCAAAATGATTTTCCTAATAAAAATGTGAACTGAGGAGTGTTTCTCGTCTTCTTGTATTTGTTCCTCTTGCTGGTGTATGACTCAAAAACGATTTGATAGATTCCCCTGACTTTTTGCAAAGGCATGAATCCTCATAACCTATGCACTTGTTCCCCTGACTTTAAAGGGGCCTTATTTCTCTTGTTGGGGTTTCTCTTTCCTGTAGTTGTGTTATATTGGTTTTTGTGCATGTAAATATTCTGCAAAGGCCAACATCCCACTCACTCCCCACCTAAATGCCTCAATTGGACTACTTTGATTACCTCCATTACATAGTGACATCACTATGTAACATTTGGCTACAACACATTTTACGTGACACGCTAAGGCGCGTCATCATTTCAAAACGGCTACATAATTCTTTAGACAAACATTTTTGAGTAACCTTCAGCTATGTATGGACTATTTGATGCAAGGAGACAAAAAATAAAATGGAATTTGAAGGCCATTCAACTTCTCCTCGTGGTCAGTGAGGAACTGCTAGAGCAGCCTCCCTCTCTCCTGTCGTTACCTTCTGGACATTTCTGCTGCGTTTGACACAGTGAACCTCCAGATCCTTCTGCAAACTCTCCAAGAACGTGGAGTCTTAGGCTTCTGCTTGGGGATGCTGAGCCCAGTTGCTATGCAGACAGTGTGATGTTGACGCGCGAGGTGTGACCCTGCAGGGGACAAAGGCGCCTTACGACAGGTACAAGGCCTCCCGAGGGGTCGCTGGGGCGTAGATCCACGCAGAAAGGTGAACTTCTACTGGATCGTAGGCTACTGATGCTTCAAGCCATCCGGGGGACAAAAAACGAGGGCGCATTAGAGTGGGCCAGAGAGCGTCTTTCAGTCGTGAGGGCTTCCACCGCTTTTTTCTCATAAAATGAAGAGCCCTGATTTAATTCACTGTAACAACACTGCCTCAACAACATACACGAGGGAGGGGGGGGGAGGGAGGAGAGGAAACACAGAAGGTGAATAGGAGGAAGGAAGTGAGACAAATGGAGCAGGGAGAAGGAGAAAGAGGGGGCTAAAAGGTGAGGAAATGATAGAGAAATGTATAGGCATCAGCATAATTTCACACATCAGTGGGAATGAGGCCAATGCGGTACGAGTTATAAATAGCTCTCCTGTGGTTATAATAAGCAGCTAGAAGTGTGTTTCCATAGAGCTATGAGGGAAACTGCGGCTGTGGAAGTAGAGTGTTTACCTTCCTCTTTGTCTCTGACATGCAGTACATGTAGGCCCCGAGAACGAAGATTTAGAACAAGATGTTATCCTACTCATTGGACCTTTCTGTGGCCCTTTACCGCAGAGAGAACCGTCCACATGCATCCCATGATAATGCAGCACTTTAAGCTCCAGCTCGTGGTGGCGGTGGGCCTGCCAGGAACAGCAGGAGCGGCCCACACCTTCTCCGGAAGAGAAGAGTATACCGCTGGGTCATGGCGCCATCGTGTGGCAGCACAGAGTGGAGAGGAGACATTTTAATGTGAGGTGCACAGATTGACATAATATGCTTTCCGTTATTGGTTAAGTCCCAACATATGATCATATCAAATGGGGCCTAGAAATGTTATCATTTTAGCCAAATATTTGATCCACAAATATTGCTACCTCTACATTTCTCCAGTATGTATTGGTTCTCTTAATGACATTGAATTATACAAAAAAATCTATAATGCTCTCAGTTTGAATTCATTTAATGAACACTGATGTGATGAGCCTTTTTCTGATCTCTTTGAAAAAACTGTTCAATAAAGTTGGTCTGGTAAAGTTAAATCTTTATATTTATATATAAGAAGTGACATAGATATGACATGGAAAAACAAATATATATTTAAGATTGGATCAA